AAACCCTCACAAGAAACAGCGGCTGTTGTTATGCGTGCTGTGATGTTAAGTTACCGCTTGTAATTATGCCTTTACAAGCTTAAAAGTTGTATTTATCATCTGAATTTGGCGAAACAAGTTTAATATTCTTAAAACCAAGACTTTGTTTATTTGAAATCAGATGAAAACAAACTGTCACGGACCCTGCCGTGTTATCTATGATTACTACGCTTTTCATTCATAATTTCAGCGGGAAGGAGGGAGAGTGGTGCTGAGGAACAGCAGAGTGCGGGCTGACAGGTGTCTGTGTTGACATTCCCCTTATTGTGGAATTAGGGGAATGCAGAGACTGGCTACAAGTGTTTTAGGTTCAAGTTAGACAACTAATGTCTGGGTTAGTGTTCATGACTTCATGTTTAAAGTCATCTTAATGGTTAATCTCAACACACACACATTTTTCCGTGCTTTCCAATAGTTTAAAATAGTTTTATTCCACTGTTAAATAACCTGTTCAATACAAACATGCCACTTGTAAAAATGAAATAACATTTCTGTGAACTGATATTTGTTTAGTGAGCTTATTAGAGGATGTTCCCATTTTGGGGGGATGTTCCCTTTGATTGTAAAATGTCAATGAAGACTTATTTGTTAATAATTACATACAACACATGGAATTTTTGTGTGTGTGTTCCAAGTGAATCTGCGTCCCCCTGGTGGCCAGTACATCAATGATGTGGCCCCCACTACCATCAAAGTTGCCCATCCCTGGACTAGAGGTAGCCAGCAGCAGCACATGATCACTCAGGCTGATTCAAATAAACAGTGGGCTTCCAAAAAAAACACATACTGGAATAAATATCAATTAATTTATTTAATAAACGGAAATGATTTTATTGCATCACAGACTGGACACATGTTTTTTTTATTAATAGTTGTTAATATTCTGGATCAAAGTGGTGGACCAAATGACATTTATATTACAACAGTAGATCAATGCGGCTAGGGTGTCTAATATATTTAAAGGATAAACACATCACTTTAAACTAATATCTGCAAATGTAAGGATTCAAACATATAATATCTCTTTTATATAATATGACTTATAGTTTTACGATGGTGTTATCAGTAATCATAGGAAACTGAAAATGTCCTACGTTTTTTTAATCTTTTTTAAAGATAGCCAAACCTTCATTAAATACTGTGAAGAGATGTTCATATTAGTCCATTGTAAGAAGATATTACATCTATGGCCAGTGGATATGACTCAGCCTCCCTCTCGAAAACACATATAAAAAACATTATTTTCAACCGGGATCGGACACCAAAGATAAGCCCATCGACAAAAGGTGCGAAAATTACTAAGAGGTGCCACAATTTCGAGCTGAAAGGTTTTATGAAAAAAGGTCAGCCCATGTCCTAGTGGGCAGGCGAGCGACTGAAGCATTAAGGCGGATACAATGAGGGTGGGAGGGGAAGAATAGAAAGGTAAGAATCCCTGGATAGACCCAAGCAAACACATACGCTCACACATGTATGGAACAAATAGACCACTGTCCTTCAAAAAGTTGATGGCACAGGTACCATTACAATCCCCTGATATAAGTGCAGCAGCTCACCTGCATTATTTGCTGAGTGAATGGAGGGAGAAACATTAAAGGGCTTGCATTCATTCATTTATTAAAACTGCTACATATCTGTTTTGGAAAAGACAAATATTCACTTATGCTTAATATGTTGTATACTTCTGTAAAAATAAAGGTTGGACATTTGGAAATACTTTTGCACTAAGTTTGAAAGCTTACATATAACTTTCTTTGCAGAAATACACGTGAACCTTTAGTCTAAAGACATTTCATAAATACACATTTTCCTTTTAACTTGTAAGCCTGTTTTCTCCAACTAACATAGATCACCTTGTCCCCAAGAAAGAACGCAACATGTGACCTGTGTTTTCAACCTTGGGACCAATAATGACAAGAGAAGGATGTTTTTTCTCCTCATACATTATGGATGGAACGATAGACCGGCTGCCATCCTCCTCGCTGTGTGTGAGCCTCCCAATGCTTTAGATCAATTGGAAAACAACATAGAACACAAGGCTGAGTTTTCGCTGTGCAGCATTCCAGATGAAATGTTTGCTTTTATACAACAGCTTCTCCTGAAGGCTACTGCTGTCTTCCCAACTCATCTGACATGCAAACCCTTTTTAATAAACAAAAGAGAAGCCTTTTATCGGCTACCTTGAGTCTACTTCCATTTCTTTCTGAAAACCACAAAAATATATATAAACACATTGTGTTTTCATCTCAAGTTCTGTGTTTTTTAACCGTGCCACCAGGCAATGTGCTTCAGTCCAGACTGAGTACAATTTCTCACTCAGGGCTGCACAATTCATCTAATCGAAAAGGCGATATAACAGATGCGTCACATCCTTCCACGTCTTTGTCCTGGCGCTTTTCCGTGGGGGTGGCTCATCTTAAATGTTAAAACTGCCGGACTTGGAAAACTAAGCATGGTGGCAAGTCGTTAAAATAATTCTTCTGATAGCAAAGGTTGCTGATGCCCAAGGTTGCAATTTAAAGAAATAAAATGTTGTGTGTGAATGTGACAACATATTCACTGATCATTTGGCGGTGGTGGCGAAGTCCATAGGGACTTGGCTTCGGAATCGGAAGGTCACAGTTTCAAGTCCCCGAAAGACCAAGTGCTACCGAGGTGTCCCTGAGCAAGGCACCGTTCCCTACACTGCTCCCCGGGCGCCGTACATAATGGCAGCCCACTGCTCCTAACACTAGGATGGGTGAAATGCAGAGTGTAAATGTTCCCTCTGTGGGACGATTAAGGGAATACAAATGCTAAATAAAATGCTGCTCAGATGACTCTCCGCTGCGCAGATCAGAGCCAGAGAACAGTGCAAATGGATGCTAGCGTTAACGAGCAGGAAGACACTATAAAGGTGGCCAAAGAAAAGGGACCTCTGCCTTAAATTCAACTAAATTGAGCTAAAAGAGGTTCTCTTTATAATATGCAAAACAAAAGTTGCTAGATCACGCGGCGACACAACACATTTGTACCAAGAAACAAAGACAAAAGTATGACGAATGCACAGCGGCTGCGAAAATTCTGACAAATAAAGAAACAGCTTAAAGGGCAAACTAATCGCAATATTGTCCACAATTATCTCAATATCAGTTTTTCAACAAATCGTGTCAAATGTGACCTTTTGCTTCAGAGGCTAATGGACAGCCCAGAACAGTCTTTGATCAGAGTCTAGCAGGAAAATATATACATTAACAAATTGATAACAAATTAAGACCTCCTTTGATGCAGAGCACTTTCTGTCAGATTGAATGATGCTATCTGATGAAGGTCAATGAGCCTTCTTCCACACAAAAGCACTGAGTCCATATGTGACCTGAACAACATGAAAGGAGGAAAGACAGGAAACAGGACATAAAAAAGCAAACCTTGCAATGCTTTGATGCTTTAAATCAATATGGCCATTGATTGGACTTTTCAATTATAGTACAGAGTCTCTGACTAATCGACATCCCTCAACAAACACATACTCCTAAAATTAATGAACAGATTTATACAAACAAATGTTGGTTATGATGGATCAGCTTCTTACTATTTGGGTCACGAGGAGCTCAAAAGGAAATAAAGTGGACGTAATTGTAACACGAACGATTGGCTTTATAGCCTGACATGCGCTTGTTGGCCAATTGTACATGTCTTTGTGGAATAAGTCCCGCCCCACCTCCACTGTGGTTGGACGGAGGAGAAAAAATGACAGGGCTGAGCACAGTTTTACCCAAAGTTGAACCTTTTTTGCTCTCAATGACAAAAAAAACCTCTGAACATGTATCACTTACAGGCTGCTGGGTGAAAATAAGCGAAAAACATAACAGTGAAGTTGCTAACCATCCCGTGTCTATCTTTTCAGTTCAAAGTTTATTATTATACGACCTAGTTAAAAACTTGATTCTGATTGGTCAATTCAGACTTTCAGCGGCCTGCTCTTATTTGATAGTAGACTGTTGCTAATGATTAAACTACATTTGAAAAGATTACATTTTGATATTAGTGGAGAGCAAGAAACTTTGGATTCACGATTGCTGAACTGTTCCCAGCAAAGAAAAAAAGAGAACAGGAAAACAAGTGAAGGAATTCGGATAAATCCAGAGAAATGAGAGGAGAAAAACAGGGAAGGAAACAATAAAGGAAACAGCAGAACGTGATAGACAGGAAGTAACATTTCCTTTTGATTCTTAAAACACAGTTTGGGCTCTTGCAGTGTTTAAGACTGGTTATTGAAAAATAAAAATGGAAACAGACTTGGAAAGATACATTAAAACCTTGATCAATGTTGCCGTCTTTTTAAGTGTCGCCACAATTCCAGCCGTTTCCATGCAGTAGAACTATGTTTTCTTAGCGGAAGCAATACGGTCCTTTTTGAATAAGTGTTGTGTGAAAAAATTATCCATTTATTTAGTTAGTAGCTGTTTAATAAGTAGGATATTATGCGGCAAGTTGGTAAAGTAGATAGCAGTATAGAATATTCCAACAGCCTAAGTGGGTTTGCTTTGACTTCTTTACTCTCTGGCCAATAGGCTTATTAAAGGTCAAGGTAGTGAGCTGGCTTGCTCAATAGAGCGGCTGGATAAAAACGTTCTCTTATAGGCAGAGAGCATCAGGTATCCAGCAGAGTACTTGAGAGGAAGGAAGGATGGGAGGAGCAGACAGAAAGGAGTGAACACGTTACATTTGATGGCTCTGGCTCTGGATTGGAGCATCAAAGTGTTCACTAGGTGGTACTCACCACCTGAGAGGGCTTGAGTGATTCTCCATCAAAGTGTGTGAGACTGGAGCCGTCTTCTGGGAAGCCATCACAGTCCTCCAGCTCCTGGGAGTTGCACGGGGGCTTGTCCTTGTCAGGGTTTCCATTCTGGGTAAAGAAAAAGGAGGGACAGGGAAACAGAACAGAGGCTAGGGTTACACTTGCTTTGCATGAATTAACATGTAAAAGGCTTGATTAGCTCTGAGGGGCCTCAAGTGGACCCAGATGATACATTTGAAGGGTAAGAGCCAGAGAGGATTTTGTTGAGCATGAGGCTGAGGGTGACGGTGGTGGGCTGAGTATGGTGATGGGAACAAGATGTCAGACAGGGAGGGCTCAGAGCAGCTGAAGAGGAAGAGGATGAAGATGAGGGGCCTTTGAGGAGGGGGAGATGCTGAAAGCTAGAAGAGAGGGCTTAAAAAAGAAACGCTTGTGAGGTCATGAGAAACCCTCTGGAGAAAAAACAAAACTCAAGCCAAGTTTTGCTTCATTCAAGTTTATGTATGAGTAATCTTCTTATAACACGTACTGCTGATTGATTTAACACCTCAGTGATTCAACCAGACATGTATCAATGGGGCTGTGCTCTATGAGGATAGATGCCTTGAAACATACACCAAGATGTATTTTATTTACAAACCATTTCCAAAATTATTACAAAATGTACTGCATAACAATATGTATTGATATTGTAATAAATAAATAAAATAAACTATGAAAGTTAGACCTATTTATCATGCAATCATGTAATGTAATCCTTTACATTAGTGTTGTGTAATCCATTAATAATTTCCTAATTATTTCTAATCAGTTTTCAAGAAACAAATGTGTGCATTTTGACTAATTAGAGGACAAAAGATAAGATAACAATTGAAGATATTAATTATTAGTTTGTAAAAAATTATAGTATTTTGTTTCTTAGAAAAGTGTTTAATCAAGCAAGTCAGCTGAAGAAGTAACAATGTAAACTAGAGAATGCAATTCCTGAAGACGTTTCTAGTGGGAATGCTTTATGCTGAAAAGCTGACGCTAAACTGCTATGCTGAAATGTAATGTGTAAGAAGAAAGTGAAGAATTCAGATTGAAATGATACATGAATACTGGGGGCTTGAATGTGTGATAAGAGAAGAAAAGACAGTAAAAAGGCTTGGAAAAGCAGCAGAATATTTGAACNAGCTACAAATCATAATTTCACACACACACACACACACACACACACACACACACACACACACACACACACACACACACACACACACACACACACACACAATGTAAAGAAAAAGAGAGAAGAGTTTATGAAACCCCCTAAACACAAACACACATGTGGGCAGTCATGCATGTAAAGACACACCAACGTACACACAGACATACAGTACCTGTCTCATCAGAAAAGATGCTAAGATTTGACTTTTGATGCTAAATAAGTGTCGAGCAGTACACTAATGAACTACATTTGGAGGTTTAAATGCATTTTTTGTTAAGCGTTGCAAAAGGGTCAGTGTAAAACAGAACCATTGGATCATTTGTTCGAAGCTGATTTACACTATGACCCATTTCAGCTTATTACAAATATATCATGAGCGTATTGAATTAAGTTTAACAAATGCATAAAATACAAATGTTTCTTTATCTGATATCTATGTGAAAGGAAACGATATCTGTCATAGTCAAACTTGTTTAACCCCTTAAAGAAATATCAATACCCGCCTCAAAAGTCTCACATTATTCGACTCAAGTGTAAAAAAAAAACGTAAAATCTATTTTTTAAACAGCTCAATTACATCCAAATTGAGTTTCTCTTGCTCAAAAAGACATAAGACCAAAATAGGCGAATCAACGCTTTAGTGTCAAATAAAATTACAAATGATGCTAAGAAATAATTAGTCAAGTTTGTTTGTATTGTAGTAAAAAATGTAATTAATTTCAGAAGATAAAAACAGATTAAATGACTTGCTAAAATGGAGATTTTTTCGCAGCGATGTTTTTGAAATTCACTTTGAAGTCTCACAAAGCCCCTGGCAGGTCAGCTACAAAGATAATTTCACACACACACACAC